CCTCAAGGGTATCATGCTAGAGTCGTAACTTCGGGGTATAACCCCGGTGACTCACGTATTTTACTACTGTCACGGGTATATGGCCCCGTGGGTTGGTATGAGTCATAGTCCTAGTACGGAACGAGGACTAGTAGTTTCCAGTTTCTACCTAAACCTCAACAACAACTTTCGGAAAAACCAATCCTTATCGTGGCAGATGTCCAGCAAGCATTCATGCAGGCTCTCATCAACAAAGACCACCGTAAATTCCTTCGCTTCTTCTGGCCCACGGGCATATCAGAAAACCCAGCGGCCCCGATGAGAGAATACTGGACGACAGTCTTGGATTTCGGTCTTTCGTGTTCTCCCTTCCTTCATTGTCAGGTTCTTCGCCATCACTTGGACTAGAGTATCGAGAGATCAACGAACGACGCAGACATGCCCCAGGAGATCCGGGAAACGTTTTCCATGGATGATTTGTGCACCACCACCTCCTCCATTAGGGAAACAAAGAAGGCTCTTAGGCTAATCATCGACGTCTTCTCTCGAGGACACTTCCCGCTTGACAAGTGGGCCACGAACTGCAAGCCGTTGGCTGAATTCATCTCGCGGATCGTATAATAGGTCAGTATCGGTCAGTATCTGCCTCTACTGAACGCGTAAAACTCATGGGCGTCTCCTGGAACCAGATTTCCGACCACCTCTTCGTTGATGTCGACCCCGTAGTTTCGTTCCTGGAGGCGGGCCCAATTACGAAGCGCCAATTGCTCAAGGGCCTCAGTCAGATTTTCGACCCCCTCGGCTTCTCTGCCCCAATTTTCATAGCACTCGAAATGATCGTGCAGACCCTTTAGTTGAGGAAGTTCGATTGGGACTCAGAGCTCACAGAGGAGCCTCGGGAAAAGTTCATTGAAGCGACCTAGAACTTGAGAAATATCTCCAGCATCCAGGTTCCGCGTTGCCTTTTCGAGTTCAATCGCAGCAAATCGCGTCGAGAACTCCACGTTTTCGCGGACGCTTCCCTCTCATACTACGATTGCGTGGCATACGTTAGAGCAGCGGTTCCCAACCTTTTTGGCTCCGCGGCTCCCTAGCGAACCCAGGATTCCCCCGCGGCTCCCAGGATACCCTGTGCCCACGCGGCTCCCGCGGCTCCTACCTACTCTCCCTTCTTTTTCCCCTAAAAGGACCATTCGCAGCTCAAATTCCGGCACTCATAACTTGCATGCACATATATTGTTTACAAATATTCCGCCCCCCTCCCGTCAATTCCCCGTTAAAGAGACAGAATGGGAATCTCCGGAGACAAGCAGCTCCTGGCTGGAGAAGGTAGCCTCGCGGGCATACCAGAGCTGTCTAAGAAATGAGTCCAATCTCTCTCGAAGGAAGAGAAGAGTTGAGCTTCTCGAAGCTCACGAAAAGCTTAGTGGTGGATGAAGTGTTCTCTGCGGGGAGGACACAAGGCAACAAAAGGTGCTCCGTGCGGTGGTGTGAAAGCGAGTGAGATTTTATTTTAGCTTCGTTCACTCCTCGATAGAGTTGGGCGGAATGGCGGGAACACAACCGTGGCAGATGAAGTCGATCCGTTTCGGAACCTTCCCATGGAATTGACAAACCCTGACGGCCCGGACCTACACCAGAAATTCGTCCGCGGCTCTCCCAGAAAAGTCTCGCGGCTCCTAGGGGAGCCGCGGCTACCAGGTTCGGCGGCTCCCCCAGAAAAGTCCCGCGGCTCCCCTAGGAGCCGCGGCTCCCAGGTTGGGAACCGCTGCGTTAGAGAAATCCCAATAATCCAAACGGAGACGCCAGCATTCGTGAGACTCATCATGGCAAAAGCCAGAGTCGCACCCCTCAAGGGTAGCTGGACGATCCCGAGGCTAGAATGAATCGCGGCTTTGCTGGCAGCGCGTATCTCCAGTTCGATTAAGAAATCATTTTGACCCAATATCGACAAAATCTTCCTTTATTCAGATAGCAGCTCTGTTCTAGTCTGGATCCGGGATGATCCAAGCCGTTGGAAGCAGTTCGTCGCCAATCGAATAAAGGAGATACAATCACTTTCGGATCCTCCCGAGTGGAGCTACATCCGAACGCTGGAAAACCCGGCCGACTTGCTCACCCGAGCGTCTCCTCTCGACACCCCGAAGCTCGAAGAATTATGGCTAAGGGCCCCCCCGTGGCTTGCGAAGCTTGAGAAACCAGCGGATCATCCACTCAACCCTATCGAGGGAAGCGCGCTCACCGAGAAGAAATCGGAGACGTACACTGCTGTTGCCTCAACAATTAGCGAACAGTTCCCCGTGGTAGGGAAACAATTCTCATCGGGGCCGAAAGCCGTTCGAGTGCTGGCCTACGTCCTCAGGTTCACCTCTCGAAACCAGAGTGGAAAACCAAGAGACGTCTCCATCAAAGCTCGAGAACTCGGTGTCGCGGCTGATTCTAAACATTCAGAGAACGAATTTCCCCTCGGAATCGGTGTCGGGATGTGAAAATATTCCTATATCCAGTCCACTATTCCAGCTACAGCCTTTTCTTTCCGACGACGCGACGGCTTTATTCGCTGTAGGTCGACACTTGCGAATGCCTCGCAGATGACCTACGACGAGATCTGCCCGATTATGCTCTCTGGAGAAGACTTCCTCACGCGGCTCTTGATTCGTCACATACACGAAAACGAGTGTTTACATTCCGGGGGCATCGCGTCGATCCTTCAATCGCTTCGGAAAAAAAATTGTAATCAGAGCTAGGCGCGCAGCAAAAGCAGCCCTCTCAGGCTGTAAAGTCGGTGTAAGATTCAGAGCGCAACAGGCCTACGAACCAATTCCCCCATGACCGCGTTTCAGGATAGAGTCCAGCGCTCCCTTCTCTGTAGTCGGCATAGATCACGCCGGTCCGATTTACTTCCGGACCGATACAGACAAAAAAAAGCAAGAAGCTCGGTAATGTCAACGACATTACCGTAGATTCACGTGAAAACGCTTAATGACGATTTTTCCGGCAAGCGGTGGGCTTGCCGAGGTGTCAAATCATGGCAAATAGACCTATCCCTCTATCGGCCCACTGTAGGATGGGATTGGCTTAGTTTTCATAAAAGCTCGGTTAGAGCCCACTGATTGCCCGACGCGTCATTAGAAGGGCAATGTCGGAATCCGCACAAACGAAGCCAGCGACGCCGACAAACGCTGTATGCGGACTTTGTGGTGTCGCGGATAGCGTGTCCCAAAAAGTATGATGCTTTTCTTGACATGACTTCGGGGCAAGGCGCCACGCTATGAGTTGCAACTTGTGGGCTAGCAGTAGCGGGTGGGGTATGCCTTTCTGATTCAGCAGGAGATCGTCGAAAGCCGGCAAGAGGAGTGGGCGTGCTATGCTGCGCCGCAGGAGGCCCGGGAAGAAGGGCTGCGTGGGCCAAAAGGGGCATATCAGGGTGAGCTCGCAAGTCGGAAAAGAGTCCAAGTACGAGGGAGTGCGGTCGATGAGCTTAAACGGGGGAGAACCGTAGAGGTTAGTCCAAGGATCCCACCGGGTTATGAAGGCGTCCATGCTGAGGGCGAACGGATCGTTGAGCCCACTGGAGTGTGTGGAAACCTCATACTTCGAAAAGTCGGCAAAGAGATCAATATCGGAGCGTCCTTGCGCTGCATCCAGTCGGGCGAAAACGGAAGGATGGAGGGAATAGCTGTGGTTGTCCCAAACCGTCCTCGATAAGCAGTCAGCCACGCCGTTTTGCACCCCTGGGAAGTAGGTGGCTTTGAGGTGAATATTCCTCTCGAAGGTCCATGCCCAGAGTCGTCGACAAATTGTCCAAGGTGGGAGAACGTAGCGACCCGAAGTTGTTGATGCAGTGCATAGCCTTGGTATTGTCTGTGCGTATTGCTATTGTAGTGTCGAGTTTGCGAGGGACTGTACGGATAGGAGGATGGCCTTCAGCTCGAGAGCATTGATGTGGAGACATTTGACACCTCTAGCTCAAGCGCCTCCCGTGGCCCCGTGGTCACACCAAGCGCCCCAGCCTTGCAAGGAACTGTCGGTGGTTATTTCAAGGGAGACCAAGGGCTGTCGGACAGGCCCAGAAGCGACCAGTTCGAGATTCGCTACTCACCAAAAGAGATCCTTGCGGATTCCGGGCGGGAGTCGGAGTTGCGCCTCTGCCGCGTGGTGGTCGAGACCAGCTTTGCGAGAGAGGAGCAGTGATAACGGTATTAGATTTCAAAGGCTCAGGTTCCTGCTGCTAGCACAGTGGACTGAGGGTGGTTTACTGGACACTGATACTTTACGAAATGACTGATATGAAAGGAACACACACGCTCGTGGTGGTGTTCAATCAGGGGCAGAGCACCTAGGTCTGCGTGATCTTCTCGGTACTCAGCAAGCTTCATTGGTGCATATATATAGGCATGAAAAACCCTCACCCATCTGGATAAGTTCCAGGTATTGTGGAATTTAATTGCTCTGCCAATTATAATTTACTTGACGGAAGAGCAAGCTTCTATATTTATGCCGACGATGTGAAGCTGGTAAAGCCAATTATAACGGTGGACGACTGTAATACCCTACATGTTGCCCTTCACGACTTCTACTTCTGGTCGTTGAAAATGGGTCTCAAACTGTAAACCCATAAATGTGGTGTTATGCGAATAGGCTCGAACAGAGTGAAATTCAATTACAGTATGGGTGATGACACTCTGGGTGAACTCCAGACTGTGAAAGATCTGGGAGTGATATTTGCCCCTTCGCTCACATTCAAGGAACATGTCACGCAAGTGATCAAGAAGTGCTCAAACATGGGAGCGTGGATAATGAGAAGCTTCATTGTGAACCAGCCCAATGTATATCTGAGAATGTACAACTCACATATCCTGCCCAATCTGCTATACTGTTGTGTTATCTGGAATCCGAGGAATGCCGGCGACCTAGATGCCCTCGAGCGAATGCAGAGGAAATTTGTGCGTAGAGTTGAGCATAGATGCAACGTCAGAAAAGGAACTGTTAAGATCCCGAGCGTAGCAGAGCTACTGATGAATGTAGATATCAAATACCTCAGACGAGTTATGAAACGGAAAGGATTCGTGTTCTCAGCTAAACAGGTAGCAAAGACGACGACTGAGAAACACTTGTACCCGTGGAGGATTACCACGATGATTAACAACCCGTTTAGTGAATAAACGAGAGTCACATTCATTCATAACTTCTGGAGTTTTGCCTAATTAGAAGAACAAAAAAACTTGCTACGCAGTAGCCTTGAGATTCTGTGACGGACCGGGGAGAACTCAAAACTGGGTGCCAAACTGGCTCCATTCCAAACAACTCCCCCTTTTTCCCGTCAGTCGCACAATCTCATTACAATGGAATATATGATAACAGATATCATTAACATGGTGATCATAGTGCGTTATAGTCGTGCGTCGTCGTCTCGATCATTCGAGAGACTCTCTTCGAATCTCGACAAAACATATCTCGTCTCGAAGACCAACTACATCCCGGAAGACTTCGCTGATATCGTTCGCGATCTTTCAAAAGATCTTCACTACCTCCTCTCTGGTTTCTTGGTTCCCAGAGATCCTTCGTCTCATGTAGGCAACGGAGTCTTGTAGTGATGTCACATATTTGAGGATGTCCTCAGTGATTTGTTGTTGACGTTCCATCGTAGTTGGTTGATCGGGGTCCGAGTCTTCTTCCACCTGGAGATTGCAGTTGGACTGGTCCCAGTCGTCCTCAATCTCGATGGAGTCCATTTCTGTTTTCTGGAGCTGAACATAGGTTATCTATCTGTTCAAGCTGAGCCATGGATCAGTATCAGAGATGTGTACACAGTTGGATCGAGAAATTATTTCCCTTCAGGCTGAAGCGGTGGTGTGGAGCATCGTCTTCGACTCTACGTTGGTACTTTTCCCAACTTCCACCACGCTCGTATCGCGGTTCCCCTTGATCCCTTCGACGCACTCTGGTAGCACTTGGGCATTTGTTTTCACAAACCGTTTGTCTGTTCACTTAGACCTTAGACAGTCATGGCTCTCTCAGTCAGACGTAAAAGAAGA